GTGTGCCGCTTTGTAGAAAAGATTGAAATGAAAAATATGCTCTTTAAGATACAGACCTATCTTGGAAGCATAATATGGGGGAAAAAAGGAATACTGATGGCATCTGATAATGATTTAAAGCCAATCAGTCCATGATGTCTCAATATTTTTCAATCATATGTGGATCAAATACTAGGTTTTGTATCTATACTATCTTATTAAAGGAAGGAAAATATTGTAACTCACATAAGGAGTAAATAGTCTTGTATTTATTTTTTAAAAATCACAAATATTTCACTGATCTGAAAACTTCCTACTTCTTCAAGCTTCCCAGCTATGTGCGAAAATACAATTATTAAAATGACTAATTACTAATACCATTTTACCCAGATTTGTTTAGACAGAAGAGAACGTGCCACTGAAGGTTCTTTTACTCTCTTATAGTGCAAATGTGCACTGAAATACCCTTTAACCACAAATACATAAAACAACAAAATGTTTTGCCTCCCTGAAAGCATAAATATCAGCTGTCTGATGCCCTCTATCCAACATAGAGCCCTCTATTCTGACATTAAATGAAAGTACTTTGGGATATTTATAAATTACCATAATTTAGGCACACACCTAAGAATGAGTAAATTAGGGGGTGCTTTTAACAGTTATTTGAGATCCTGTCTGATTTTAAAAACACGAACTGAATGCCAGATAGGCGAATCGTGTAATATGCACATTTATTGGCTTTCAGCAATTGAATCTACCAGGGCTTACATGTTTGGGGTCAAAGGTTAATTAAAGACATCCAAAGGTCGAGGAGTGATTATGTGGGGGCTAGGATTGTAATGGGGCGAGGGAGCTCACTCGAACAGGAGCCCTGACAGAAGATTTATACCAGAGGTTATGACATTGGTGCAAATAGTGCTGATAAAAAGGGCCTCTCCGCATTGGAGTGAACAGGATGATGAATCGGGTGCTTGACCACTCTCACTTATCGTTGAAACTCTTTCCCTGCTCCCAGCGCCTAATAGCAGGTTATTTGCCCTCACTTCAGAGTGCTGATCATCTCCAAGGGTTTTGAAACACTAGCCTGAAGTGCAGGTGATAAAGTGCATTAACTGATAAGAACTGACCATTGAATGCTCTAAATGAATTAACAAGCGATAATGTTCCTCTTTATAGAGAGATAACACATGCTGCACATTGGGCAAATGGTGCTGGCTGTAGGTTCGGACTCGTCTATACAGATCGCAACGGAATGGGAGCAAGCATCAGATGACTGTAAAATATTTTACATCATCTCTGTCGCCACTTCATTACCTTCACTTTTCACATTTTCAGACTCTGATTTTACTCTGGAGTGTTGCACAGTGCCGGTGTGGCATATCGTTTTTCATTATTATCGCCCTTTTACCTTTAACTTGTTTCAGCTGATATAAAGTAAATTCGGTGTCTTGTTTTCTTTTTTAAGTTCATTATACTGCAGGTAAATATAATCAGGAGTCTTTGTCAATCCAAGGCTAGAAAAGGGGCATTCATACAGTACATCAACACAGTGGTGAGTCTGTTAGCACTGCTGTCTTCTAAGATGCTGGGTCTCGGTTTCATACAACTGTCTGTGTGGAGCTTGCATGTTCCCCTTGTGCTTGCATGGCTTTTCGATGGGTGCGCCTGGTTTGTGTGCGTGTCCTGAGACTGGACTGCCATCCCAGCCCTGTTGTTATCTCACTTTATGTCTCCAGTATCTGTTGGTCCTGTGACCATTATAAAATAAGCAGCTTTCTGCTACCCAGTGGATGGGTACACGATATATACCAATACAAATATTTTTCTCTTGCTCAGATTGTTTCTTTGAAAACAAATGAATCAAATCCTCCTTTGCCTTCTTCCAAAGGACGCTCTTTGCATAGTAATTAAATTCCTTTCTACTGTTCTGTGCTTTGGGTACTTTTAATACCATGTAATACACAGATTTTGAGCAACTGTAATTGCTTCAGATTTTTTTTTCTTTATGATTCCTTTCAAGTTACTCATGAGTGTTCACTTAACAAATTTGATTTGCTCTAGTATGTGGTCTAATAGGCTTAAGTTATGGAACTAAAGAAATCAAAGTGGATTATGGAAATCCTAGTTCTCTAGTTTGCAGTTTATTTTTACACTTATTATACTTTTATGCAGTATTTGTAATACACTCTGTCGGATTATGCTGTTCGCTACACTGTACCATCCATTGAGCTTACACAGATATCCTGAAACATGGCATGCTCCTTCCTTCCAGTAAACGAAAATATGAAATACTTTAATCTGAAATAACTCGGCAGATAAAGAAACAGTTCAATTTGCTTTTATTAGATAGCTGCAACTAATATTGATTGACAGTGAATCACTTTACTTCTGTTCACAACTGTTTTGCACTGTAACTTCATTTACAATATCAATGCTCTTATCCCCTCGAACAAAGAGAATTGCCTCAAAATCACAATCAATAATCACAATAATCTTGAAACTAGTAAAAGCACACACACACCTACAGACACTAATCTTATGATGGAATTAGAATTCTGGGAGTGCAATGCTTTCACAGTAATCTGTCAAAGATAGATCACATGCTCTCAATGGGTCCCAAAAAATCAAACTGCAATTTTACACTATGGATCAATGAGTAATCCAGTGCTTGATGGGACCACATGCATCTGTGAGAACTGCCCGAGAACTGCCAAATGGCATGCCCAGTGTGTGGAACGTGTTCAGTGTCTTGCAGCTCCTGCATTTTATACCACACCGTGGAGGTAACATTTAAAGAATCTCTTGAGACTCCTTTCTACAGCACCAGTTTCGGCCTTTGAGGTATTTGAGGTTTAAAGTTAATAGCTGAATGTGCAGTGCTACAGTATGAAGATTTTCAATTGGCTTCTGCCAGTATCCTATTAGGTAACAATGTGTTTAAGGGAATTCAATGGCTGATTTTAATCTGGGAGGATGTCTATTTATTTAAGTCAAGGCTTTGTATATGTGTTTATACGTACTTCATTTAGAGGCTCTTGTTTAATCAATGTTATTCAGTGCATGCTTTTAATTATAAAGTCCTTATTACCGAAGTAACCTAATAGCAAAATGCAATTAACCAGAGCAATAATGAGCTAATTGGTTACTAATTAGAATCAACAGCACAACAGTCACTTGTCATTTGGAATGATGGTGGTAGCTGTAAGTAGCTTAGGGGAAAAGGCTAAATTATCACTGCGGATAAACAATGAAGATGTGTAAAGACTTGCATTTTGGAATTTTATATGTATTAATTACAAAGGGGCTTACATTACATTGTTGACATAGTATTACAACACAAAGCTTATCGTCAGATTTTTTTTTAAACACTTTTCATTAACCCATTATTTCTGGGAAACAAATGCAATGTACCAACGTCCATTTTGAACACTGTTTGGCACCTTTTGTTGAAATGATCTTTTCTGACACACTCTTCTCCGCTCTAAATGTGCATCCCATGAATACCAAATAAAAAAATATATGATCAATTTGTAGAATTATTATAATTACATAATATATAACTATGTTGATCTTAAATATGATAAATCTATTATCAACGTACAGTATATACTACATTTTAGTTAATAAGAATACCCTGAAAATAAAATAGGAGTTGGAATATGAAGCATAAACACGCCAGTCAAGAACTTCATTACAATCCATATTACACCCTCATAATTCACATTAATTTTTACATAATATATATTATTGTGGATTTCCCGGCTTCATCTCCTCGTGAAATTTGTGTCAATGTTGCTAAAGCCATGCCCAGTTTCCAAAACATCGCAAGTTGTTCTCGTGCAATATTGTTCGCATTAATAAACTGTAAACTAAAAAAAATCGAATTAGCTAAATCGCCTTTCAATATTTCAATTTCAATTGATTTTTAAATGAAAGTACAATATATCATCTTTCCAGGGCGATGCAGAGTTAAAGCTCACAGAATTACTGAATGCTTTTTTTGTCACTGCCATGGCCAAAAGCCAAATAATCTATAGTATCACAAAATCCATATGCAGGGCATTATCAGATTAAAAAATTAAATTTGGAAAGTAGTGAAGAGAATGGCTCAGCTGTGTAACGTATAGTGCACCTGTGTGCTGTTGTGTTCTAACCAGTAACCTGATAAGGATGAAATACCAGCAACAGGCCCGCTGGGAATCCGCAGTTCACTAAATAAGTATTTCGTGAAGTGGATAAGTAACAGTACATTTTAAAAAGGGGGGAATTAGCGATATCATGCCTGTTCCTGTTTAAAACCCTGCCTCGCCAAGACCAGCTTTGGCACTCCTGGGCTGGACTGATGCGCTTAAATCCCCTGTTTCCACGCTAACAAGATGTACGCTGACGACAAGGCCAACTGGAGAGGCATGGAAATCACAGGGCAGGTGGAAACCAAATCATGAATTTCCCAGAAAGAAGATGATGATAGGCAGAGCAAAACACAGTTATTCGCTGGAGAAGGGAAAGAGAGCAGGCTGGTTTTGTGAACCAAAGACAGTGCCCAACTGTTATCCCAGCTATAGGTTTTAGTCATGGTAACTTAACTGTCCACCTCATTTTACTTCGACATATATAAATCTGTTTCTGGCATATTTCTCAGGTACTTCAAACTGGCACCCCGTCTTGAACTACAAACCAATTAACCATCATTCTTTGCAACATCATGGAATGTCAGTGGCCACAAACAGCTGTTGTCTCTTACAGCTACGATGCTCTGTACCAGGTTTTTCCATCTTTAAATAATAATTAATAACAATAATGATGATGATAATAATAATAATAATAATAAAGTCAACAACTTCCACCACATCCCTCAGGGCTGCTTTGACTCCCTGGTTCATACATGCGACTGCACTGCGCCTGCGGGCTCTTGCTAGGAAATGACGTCACGCCGCTCGACCCTGATTGGAGGTTGAGCGCCGTGCACATCGCAGAGTGACGGGGAAGTGATGTGGTCCTCCGAGGTAAACACGGTAAACTTTATTTTCAGCCTAGGTTTAATCTTTCCGCTAACGAAAGTTTTCGAACCGAAGGATCGTTCGCGTCTTTAGGTGCGCGTTAGTTCGCATGAGAGGGATAAATGTTTTGTGTGTGAGAGATGAGGTAAGAACTCCGAAAGAGAAAACCGCTTTGCTGTGTAAGGTTACTGTCTGTTTCGATCTCGGTACCCCCTGTCAGCAGTTTCATTTTTAATAAGTGGTGTTTGCTTTAAACCGCGTTTTATAGGAATGGGGAAAATGCAAGAGCTGTTAACGTTTATTTGAAATATCAATCGTTTTGACGAGTAAGTTTGTCCCCTGTCCTTCATAGGCCTGCCCGGTGTGATTGGCCTGTCTGGATTTGTGTTACCAGACGGAAGAGTTAACAGCTGTAACGGGCCATGTTATAAAGTGTTTACGTGCCTTAAAATTGACCCCTTTCTTCCGATCCAGGACAGACTGGCGAGACTCATGCACGACTCCTCCTTTACTTAACTCGGGTTTTGCCATGCTCGTTTCTCCCGTCCTGTGGCGAAGCGCAGTCCAATCCGTTCAGACCCATGATTTCTGAACGGATTGGACTGCGTTGAGTGTGTTTTCACTCGCTCAGAATCACTGGATTCATACTCTTCTTTTAAAACAACACAAATCCACTCACTGACACTGGAGTAAGTGGGGTCTTGCGAAGTGTATTCACACACAAAAAGTACCAAAACAACGTCTTCCTAGGTATTCTATCGAAGTGGAAGACTAGACAAGCTTGACTGTAAATCCGGTTTTCAAAGGGAGCTGTGGCCAAATGGTTTTTGGGGAGGAAATGGCATTATTCAAGTGGGGTACTCTTGCTTACAAGACCATTGCGGTGGCTGTGATTGAACACAGGTTTGCTACAAAACGTACCAAACCCGAAGAAGCAGTAACCATGTCGAACATGTTGCAGATGTGAGGTCAGTTCGCTTGTAACTGTACTATTATTGCACGCTGGGGTTCATCTAGACTGTTGTCTTCCTTACTCGCCTCTCTGCGTTCACACCCTAACAGGTATATGGTCCATGACCATCGTGCAGAACTGGAGACACTCTCCCATGGCTTTCAAAACTGACCAGTGTTGTAAAACCGTTTGAGGGCAACACTGAACATGAAGGAAACACCCAAAGAAGGCCATTTAATGGAAGAGTTTCTTGAAGGCTTCACTCGATAGTACTTGTTACCCAGACACCGAAACTAAAACACTAGCATGAAGCAGGTGTTGCTTCATATTTATTTTACAGTCAGTTGCATTTAAATGGTTAAAGGGCTATTTGGAGTTGTAATCTCTATTTTGGAAGCCATTCTCACTATTAATCCATTTATTTTGGGTGAAGCAATGTTTTATTGAGTATGTAATTTACGATTTTTCAGAGGCATTATTTTCAGGCGTCTGGCATTCAGTAATACTCTGCCTTTTTTGAAGAAAAAAAAAAACATGACATATTTGAGTTGTAATTCTTCACCTGTCCAGACAGCGTACAATTAGATTTGGTATAGAGTTTAACCAGCTGAATCTAATGTTCCCCTCTCTTTATTATCTCTTGGTTGTATATCTTCAGCTTTCCTGTAGTTGTAAAACTGGATACGTATACCATGTAGACTACAGACTAAGCAGTGCTTTGAGAATTTAAACAACTGTTATGCAGTTTGATGTGCAAAATTGTCTACATGCGTTAAAAGAGAACCTGATAATGGGATTTAAGTGGCGACTGACATAAATCTGCTGTTTTCTCCCATTTTGGCCTTAGAGGAATGAAATATTTTGAATTCTGTCTGATTCCTCTGGTGAAGACCTCATGGCTGTGGGACTGAGCACCCTTGTTTAAAAACAAAATAGGAACAAATGCCTCTGATCACCTCTGACAAGACGGTTTTGTCCGTTACCTTTCTTGACGCGTGCACCAAGGTGAGTGTCAGTGTTGTTGTTGTTTTCTCGTTGATGCCAGGCTTGCAGTGATGCCTGACCGTGTCCAGTGCGCAGGTGGCTGTGGGCGGGGAGACGCCTTAGTGTTCTGAGAGCAGCTCGCGGGGCCGTGTTTGGCAGAAATGGCTGAAGCACCCAAGGTGACGCGCCGGCCGTCCGCGCCGACGGTCCGCGGGCCGTACATCTCCGTCGTGACCAACCGCGCCACGAACTTGGTCATCCGGGCAGTAGTCCTGTTTTCCATTGGGGTCTTCCTTGCTCTGGTGCTGAACCTGCTGCAGGTTCAGAGAAATGTCACGCTTTTCCCTCCGGACATGATTGCCAGCATCTTCTCCTCTGCGTGGTGGGTCCCTCCCTGCTGTGGAACAGCTTCAGGTGAGCCTTTAGGAAGCGATGGGGATTCCAATATCAGTCATAAATCCAGTTCTTCTGAGTTTGTATGATTTTTGTCGGGTTGACACCTTGACTATAGACAGGACTTTTCTCCCCAAACAGTTACGGAACCAGAACAGTAAACAAAGCGGAACCTTAATTTAATTAGGTGCCCTCCTGATAATGAACGTTTGGAAGTCAGAAGAGGGTAGCTAATATTTACCTGCACGTAATTGGAGACAAAGTTAAATGGAAGCTCTGCTTGTTCTGGATGCTCCGTGCAGAGCACTGGCCAAGTCAGATTAGTCCTTTGCAAAGGGCTGCGAAGAGAAAAGCAAAGGCTCGTTCTACACTGGGAAAAAAACTGTTGGGTGGTTAAACCTTCTTCAGGTGTGAGGTGAAGAAAGATTGACAGCCTAATTGTTGTGTTCTTTCTACTTTTGGCATGAGATTAACCTTTACTTGTTCCTTAATCGTTTGTAATTCCTTATTCCTTAATCCTGCCCAAGAAAGTAGCACACGTTTATGTAGTTGATGGAGCAGACCCACAGGCCTGGTCTCCGTGATGGTAGCACAGAATCTGTTGTCCTGTGAATTTGGTTCAGCATTTTGTCATTGCATATTGATACAATAAGAACAAAACTGGAATTTTCCCAATATTCCTATTAGGAATAAAACCAAGTATGTCAGCCTTTTACATAATCGTATTTTTTGTAACACTTTGTAATAAATGAAGTGTGCTACTTTAAGCATCTTTTCTACAAATATTTCTTCTTTTTTTATCAAAGTATTTTTGTTTTGCATTCCTTTACCTATTTTTAACCAGAGTTGGATTTCATTTGACCAAATTGCACTTGAATACCAGCAGAATGAAAACCTAGCCCTATCACTATGGTTAACCTCAAAAGAGCTGCATGAGACAGTTTAGTAAATCAAGATGTATTTTTTTCCCTGTGCCAACACAAGTCACCATTTAATCTCTAAACCTTTCGACTCTCCAGCTTGTTTCACTCTTGGCCAAGGAGGTTTATCCACTCTTAAGTTCCTCAGACGTGCACCTGTTAGCAGCAAACAGCTGGAACCTTTCCTCTCCAGACAGAAGACTTTTCTGCCTTTTTTCAGTATAAAACTTTAAGCCTGAGACTATTTCACTGTACTTTTGGGAATACACACATTTTGTGCATCCAATCATTCAGCTATTCATCTTTTTATTGAAACATAAATACTGTTGCAGCCACCGATTTAAATGTTTTATTACCTTTATGATATATATCTGGTAGATATTTAGTGTGTTTCCCAGACAGTGTACATTTATCATAAAGTAACCCCGTGATTATATTTAAACACTTGTTTTCCAAGAAAGTCACGTCGTGCACAGTGTCTTTTCACATTTAATTTGACCTGGAAGACTTTTCACCAGTTTACTTGGCATCTATATTAGTAGCTGACAAGTGGGCCCATAGTGTATTCTTATCATTGGTTTTCAGTCCAACATTGGCTAAGAACTCTCCAGACAGAAAGACTGCATAGAGCTGCATAGCTGTACAGAAGGCACTGGAACATACTTCTTAGGAATGGTTAAATGGTTATCTGTGATAGCATTATCAAAGATGCGCACATGGTTAATATAAAAATACATCTACATATATTGTGTCTAGAGGTTTTTAATGCAGCTGCTGTTTATAAGAAGTCAGGTTTTGTGCTGTGGCCTTTTTATAGAACCTGATACCTAGTGCTTTCTCTCTTCACCACACTGTCACGCGTTTGAAGGACTTCTCCATGGAGCGTTGTTCCCAGAGTCCAAACGAGACCTCCCACAGCCAAGCAAAACATGTGGCTGCCCTTTTCGCATCTCGCTGGTCCATGTAATCCTTAATTTCCTCAAAGACGTTCTTGTTGTGACTCCACCAGTCTAGTTCACTGCTTGGGGTGTTACACTAGCTTGTTTTCATTCCAGATCTGCTTTTACAAGGTCAGCAGTGTGCTGTGGATCATGTGTTGAAATATGAAGTTACTGTACTAGACCAGCGAGCTTGGTTCCAGACCGCCATGCACAAAAAGACAATTTGTTTGGACCCTGCAGCTGTCTCATTGATTTTTTAAGATTTCGGCGCTATTCTGAGATACAACGCATACTTTAACAGATCTAACACCATCGTTCACATTTGACACTTTGCATTTCTTGCCTTCATCTTTTCCCTTGCGTCATTTCTGTGACACAATGTCTCTGGGTCATTTTAAAAATTTTACTGGTCTGTTAAACGATTTATGTAGTGTCCTCCTCTGTTACGGCATTTGTTATATAGTAAGTTCCCCACTCTGTTCAAAATGAATTACTGTATTGATGGGAGTGTATGTTTGACATTAAGGGGTTTTCTTTAAAATGCCAGAAGCAGTATTAGTTTTCATGCTGGCAATGGCTGTGTTAGAGAGCACAGCGTTTTCAGAAGTTCATGTTGCGGAAGAGAAATTGTTCACTGTTAAAGTTGTTTAACCTTAGCCTGTGAATCTTCATGTAATGGAATTTTATTTATTGTACAAAACAAGGCAAGATTCTTAAGCATGCAGTATATCCAAGCTTGGCTGTGCATATTCTGTAACATGGCAGGCGGTAAGCCTTTTTTTGTATTTTAACCTTTCCATTCATGAAACGGTAATCTGTTTGAGTTTACTTTTTCAGTTTAAGTTTGAACATTTCTGCTGGGTGGTAAATTAACTTTTTGACGTTGCCGTACTAAATTATGCAAATCCAAGATTTAGCTGGGTCTGATAAGGTTCACGGTAAGTGGATTACGTTTAATTAGCTTAATAGTTTGTCTCCATAAACTTATCTCCTGATCCCTCCTTGAGAGTGCCAGGGACTTGGGTTTATTAAGATAAACGCTTTTACAGATTCTTGGCACAGAGGTTTTGAAGATTATTGCACAGCAGGTCATTTTTGCTGTTTACACAAAAGTGGTCTGCTGCACGTTGAAAGAAAAAAATAACAGCAGGATGAAAGCCACAATGATACAACTGTTACATTATTTTGCACTGCATTGGGGACACGGTTGGACAGGAATAACACCTAGGACCTCAAGAGTTTTGGGGAGGTCATTTTAATCTCCTTTTTTCATCTGTTTCTTTTGTCTTTCTTTCTCTGCAGCTGTAATAGGCCTATTGTACCCCTGCATTGACAATCATCTGGGAGAGCCTCACAAATTTAAAAGAGAGTGGTCCAGCGTGATGCGATGTGTGGCAGTCTTTGTAGGGATAAACCATGCGAGTGCTGTATCCTTTTTTCTTGCTGCAGGCTACACGGAACTACCTTTTATCTGGCTCCAGGAAAACGTGACACATTCCTTTATACATGGAGAGAAAATCGTTTCCGTGGTTCAAAGTTTTAAAAGCTCAAACGTTCAGACTTTGCAGGGTGGGGGGTTATTTTTCTCCACTTTCTTAAGTTAAGAAATGCCCGTGCCCTTAATCTAAAGGTCTTAGATCTACGAACGTATTTCTCAGATTTGGACTAAGTCAGCCTTTTCACACCTTCCCTCCCATCAGGAGAGACTGGGTTTTCTGGCTTCTGTTTTTATTTACACAGTTTTCCTTAAAATGTTTTCTTTCAGAAAGTGGATTTTGCAAACAATATGCAGCTGTCTCTTACACTTGCAGCCCTCTCTATTGGTCTGTGGTGGACCTTTGACAGATCCCGCAGTGGGTTTGGGCTGGGAATGGGCATCGCTTTCCTTGCAACCTTAGCCACTCAGTTATTAGTATATAATGGTGTTTTCCAGTAAGTATTACTTTTTATTGTTTGCGTTTGAACCTTGGACAACAGCTGTTTTTGTAAAGACTTAGCTGGCTGTAAAGCCACCTGTTTGACGCAAACTGTCTCCTTTATTTTTTTGGTCATTGGGTGCTTCCAAGAATGTGCCATTCAAATTCAAAGAGCAAATCCATAAAACCATGAAAGCACAAGGTGGATTGGCCTGCAGACGCCTCAAGCTATTTAACATTCGCTGTGCCGAACTGTACCTTTTGTACAGTGGGGTTTTCTTGACTTTAATGTCCTCTACGGTAGATAGAGTTCATGGTCAATGTAATCCTGGTGGCTCTCTATAAAATAGAGAACGTGGCACAAGTGAAAGGAGGCAGGCAGTTGATGTGTGTTGTCTGCTTTTTCAGATAATCCTGTGTGATCCCAAGATGTTACCTTCTCTTCCATATTTTCCAGTTGATCACTTTTCTGTGAGACGCGTGGTTTAAGATGAGCAGATCTGTATGTAAAGTGCGCGTATCAATTTTTTCTTGAAGGTACACGTCTCCAGATTTTCTGTATATACGGTCCTGGCTGCCTTGCATATATTTTGCTGGAGGAATTACAATGGGTAATATAGGTCGCCAGCTAGCCATGGTAAGTGCCATATTTTTTTAAAATATATTTTTATTTTTACATGTAGTAAAGGTGTAGTTTAAATGGATATAAAGTTAAAAGCCTGTTGAAGGTAGTTTGTCAATCTCCCTATGACATACTGTATCTTTGAGTGGTGTCTTCCACCTGTGTAAAACTCTGTAGTATACAGAATGTAGTGGTCCTCATTTTTGCAGTACTGGTAGTGTTGGTTTTAGGGAAAGCTTTGATGTCTTTTAAAGGTAAGCCTCGAAATGTAATTTCTTCTGTATTATGCAATATCACAAAATATTTTTTTTTCTTTGAACAGTACGAATGCAAAGTTGTTCAAGACAAGACACACCAGGACTGAAGACTGCAGTTTAGGTTGTGTTCATATTTTTTTTCTAACTGTACTGTGCATTTTGACTAGATAAAAATGCCAAATTGTAAACGTATATATCGATGTATGATATTGAATTACAAAAATTGCAAGCATTGCAGTTTTGTTTCTTTTGTGCGGTATTCGTCAATGCAATCTGTGATTGCTACTTAAAAAAAAGATTAGGTAGTCTGATGACAAAGCTCATCAGTATGCAATAGACCATTGATAATTTAAAAGAATCCTTCATACTGCAGCTCATAATTTGAGACCTTTGGCTATGTGCCAAACTGTTTTACATCAGATACATCTTCGTTCAGAACATTTGTACTTTGCATTTCAAAATGTAGTTTTGTGTCTGTAGTTTGCTATATATATTGATAACGTTATCTACATGTGATGTAGGCTTTTTTTTCAGAGCTTCACAACTTTTTATGATTCTGTAGTCTTTCTGCCCAAGAAATGCACACATGTACTGTTATACTAATAATAATTCATCAAACATTGGCTCCAGTAAATAGCTTGACCATAGATGATCCCTGGAGTATATAGGTACATAAGTTGTAATTCCATTTAGGAAAGGGAGGTAGTTATTTAGTAGTCTTTATTTTTCTCATTTCTACCATTATAAATGAGGACATAGATAACAGACATGAGAAGTGTTGAACACAGTTTTATCTAAACAAGCTGGAGTAATGCTTTAGAAAAATATCAGTCTGGTTTATATTCAATCCTGAACCAGTGTTCAATTGTGTCTGAACTGGAGCCAGTAAAATTAGAAGCATTCTGCATCAGACTTGTCCAGTGATCTTCGCATGGAATTGTACAAGATGCAAAATAAGGGATTGCTTAGCTTGTTTTAAAATAGCATTTAAATCTATTTAAATGAATCAGATTTGAGTTAGCTTGAAAAAGCAGAACTTTAATAAGAAATTTCCATTTGTAATTATTAAGGATTAATTAAAAGAAATAAGAAGAAGTAAAAAACATTTTAGTATTCTTCTATAGAAATTACTTGTGCAGAGTAAACTATCGCTGGGGTGCTTATTGATGGATGGTGAAAAGAACAGTGCTAATCTGTCAGTTTTGTTATATATTGTATAAAAGACGGGAGGCATTCAAAGCTTAATGAGCTGCATTAGGTCAGTGATGAAGAGGAAATGTTGCAAATGTCTCGTTTTAAGTCTTCATTCAGTATTGTTACTTGTAAAACTCATGACAAATGTTTGCTCTCACTGATGGGACTGATTCAATTTAAATTTTATTCATGTACGTCTTTTTGACATTTGTGAAATAATGGAACAAAAATATGCCTTCATAATGGAAATCAAGTAGCGTTTTTTTTAGCACACTTTTTAATTGCTCAGAGTTTCATGAACGCCTGGTGATTTTTAAAGTGAAGGACATCTTAGTTTACATCACGGTGTTTCCTTCCCGAGTAGTTCCATCTATTGTGATAGTTTCTGTGCTGTACAACATTTGTACATTATTTGCTGTCAACATTTTGTGGTTGGACTGGTTCTGAATTTTTGGTGCTCAGACAAGCTGCTGCTGATTGCTTTCAGGGACATGGGAGCCTCTGCTCACGTTTGTCCTGTCTGTTTTGAAATGGTGAAAAAACCTATGTACAGTACATGCAGTTATTTGGGCCTTATACTGATGTGCTGTTACTAATGTACTGTGTTCAGGTTTTGTGCTGTCAAAGTAACTTGTCGAGAAGTCATTAAGTAAATATGAACTGTGGGTTTAGACTTGGGGAGGGCCGCTTTGTCCCCCCTTAGCGTCCTCCCTGTGTTTGAAGATTTTGACTTTAAAGTACAGTTTTTGACACCAGACTTTATTCAGGCATCTGCCCCTGCACACACGTCTGAGCCCGTGAAGCTGTAGGACCTGCTCTGAGAAACAGCCTGTTTGCAAGCAGAGCAATGTCAGACGGCTGGACAGAACCGTCTGTAATTTTCAAAGAGCACAGTGGAATCTGGTTAAAAAAAGAACAGCCACGGGACTTTTAGGAATCGAGTAATTGCCCTCTTCAGCATTCAGAATGAATAATAATAATCCGTATTTTAATTGAAGTATCATCGCACGGGATATAAAAAAGGGAGCTTTCTGTTTTTGTACCAAGGTTTGTGTCCGTATGTCATGTTTTTTAATCTGTATTAAATAATACATCCAGCAGATTAATGGTTTCTTCTGTTTCTTTCATGAAAGGAGTGAGGAAGAAAAAAACAGTGCTTCACAAGGGAGGGGTAACCAAATATTTAAAGGCCTTGAAATGAGAAAAGTAGAATGGAGACGTGCAGCGCACCTCCTACAAGCTTATCACGGCTTCATCGTGATTGACAGGGGATAATGATATTTTTTTTATCCCCCAGCAGCGGTATGCAGATTGGGCTCTCAGCCCTTATTGGAGATATAATTGCCATGGTTACTCCTGCATGTACACGCGGAAGGGACCAGGAGGACATGAATCAGCATAAATTCTATAGCAGTGCCTCTGCAGGCTTAATGTAGATTAATGTTACCTGCTTCCTACTGCCTGCTCTTACGCGTACAAATAATTAAGATTAATAATCTGGATTTAAAGCCTTGTTGTACGCAGGATGCCATGCCATCCTCTCTTAAAGAAAATTTAATACATTAAAGCTTCAAGGACAGATTACTATTGTTGTTATTGTTTTGCAAGTCCCTTGTTAATCTTTAGTTGGTTGGTGTATCACTTGCTGTGTTAAACCACGTAAGTGGCTGTCAGCACATTTTCTGATTTTGGAAATGGGGAAACAAAAGTCACCTTTTAAATGTATGTACTGTATTATTGGTTTTCACATTCTCAGTATATGGGTCACCTTGAATTTGAAGGTGGAATCTCAAAAATCCAATTTTTCTTTCAAACTTGTAGCATAAGCCGTTTTGGTGTTGCCTGGGAGTGGAAACTTTTGTTCACGGCTCTGGCAGTTAACCCCTCAGCAGCACTGTCGCGTGGTAAACACTGTGGTTCTCTGACATGAATACTTCCAGTGTTGCAGGTACAGCACAGCTTAGCTTTGCTCTTTTGATGACTCGCCTCAAAGAGATATGGAAGCCCCGTAGATCATTATTGCTTCCATCTTAAAGTATATTGCTGCTGAGAAAATTGTTCATCATTAGTTGTAATTTTAAAAAAGTAAGACAAATATATACACCTTGCAAAATGCGGACTATTTAAGAAGTCGCTATGGATATCTTTGATATGGAGCCAGATTTCCATTAAATGTCGAACTGGACACCAGGGGCAGGTGGATCCCTACAAAGCTGGCTTCAGAACCCGAAGACTGTCAACATCCATTTTTAATAAACACGGTATATATCAATCCTCAGGGCTCCAGGTGAGCAGGGGGATCTTTTCAGAAGACAACAGATTTTACAGCTGTTTATCCAGCCTGTGCCAGTCCATGACAGGCTGGCGCCTCCTGTCTTCAGCCCTGCGTGCAGCCGCGGCCCCGTGATAGAAGGGGCCGGGCTGAGATCGGAGGTGGGATGGAGGGGCTGTCCTTGACGTGAGGGAGAAGTGATAAAGCACTTTTGGTTGAGTACAAGAAATTGCTTCCTCTGTTGCCCTTTTTCCTCACAATTACCCCCACCCTGCGTCGCGGGCACATGATATTTTTCACCGGAGCCTATGACAAACCTTCTCCCCGTTCTCGCAAATTGCACCTAAGAGAAAGAGCAGCATTACTGGTTCCGCTTCCTCTGTTTTTCCATGCCCTGCTATTTATCCGTTTTTGTAAACGGAAAGTAATAAGCAATAGACTCAAAAAGCCTTCTGTACACAAAGGCTCCTTTTCGGCCCCCTTAATCTTGCATGGTATTAACTTGTACATTTACAAAACAAACCTCACGAATGTGAATGAAGGAGAGTTTAAAAGAAGTGTGGGGGGTTAAGCCACGTCAGTTATAGGAGAATAGGCAAATATGTTTTCATAGGTCGCTTAACATTTTATCTATATGCCAGGCAGTGAGCAGTTCCGTTTGTCCTACCTCTGAGGAATTTACACAGGCTGTAGGACACAGAATCTGTATGGAGTGACTTATTGAGAAAATGGGAAGGACTGGTCTCCCTCTTCTTGCCTTTCGCTCATTCTCGCTCTTATGAAGTGTGAAGAATGATCCCCTAAATGAAATCAGGAAGGAACTCGACAGAATCTTGTTTAATGGTGTGACAAAATAAATCACAACTATTCATGGCATCCATCACAGCTAAAAGGTGACCACAAATGATCTGTGAACTACTATATATTGATTACTCATGTACTACAAGTGTCGGATTTAATGTTCGCACACTGCAAAAAGGCGGCAGAGACAGCTGGTGCTTTAACTCTTCTTTGATAGATTTTAATGGTGAAATATTGATTTCTGTCTGGCCAAGGTCTGCTGTTAGGGGCCAAAGTCATTTGTTGGGTAATGCCGGACACCCAGTCCGCTAGTCACAATCAATCATTTTGGCAAAGCACACCGGAACAGAGGGGGGGGGTAGAATTTCACAGCAAAGCACCTTGGACCTCAAAACCGTTCCTAGGGGCGGTGTGTGATGCGAACCTCAAAGAAATGCTCCTTATAAAGAAGAAGAAAATATTAATGATAAGATGTTTATTGAGTGGCGAGTCACCGCAAATCGCAGCTGACATGAAATTATCTGAGCACCTCCGAGAGAAAATGAGTGTCTTGGTAAAAGGGTCTATATTTTATTTAAACATCCGTCTAGGACTGGAAACCCAGGTAATCTGTTGTGTTACAACTCAGTGGTTGTTCTCTCCATCCAGAGAGATAACAGAGGAGCTAATAGGAACACATCAATCACAATCAGCTTCCAATTCCATTGGTGTCTCCTATAGCCGGCTACTGTTTAAGCTTCCTAATAATGGTGATAACATAGTTCTATGGTTCTGATAGTGGTTTGCCCCTCTGAGGGTCACATTCATAAACTGATTGAGCAGCTGCAAAGTCAGCATCTCACTCCCATGAAAATGAATATGGGAAACGTGACAACCGGTGCATTATCCTCTTGGAAATACAGCAGGTTCTTCAGAGACCTCGGGTTTGTCAGTGTGTAGCGTACACAGATGTGCTGTGGATAATGGCTGATTCCATTTTGATTATCTTGCTTACCTAATGATTTTTGCTTCAGTGCCCAGCTCAATGGTGTTCATTGGGAAAGTGTTCTATTAGAATGTCAAGGCACACTGAATTGTTATCGGGGAGGACTTGTGCAAGGCAGTGTGTGTTACCATAAGCCTACGGCGTCTGAGAGAGAGACTTTAGGAGTGAAATAGATTTAAAGTGGCTTGCTTGCAGTGCAGTAATTAAAATGCCATGCTTTTAACACACCTTGGACATTTTCTAATCAGAGGCATATACCAGCATGGAGAGTGCAAGTATATTTATTCCAGCAGCTACAGATTGCCGAGGAGATAGAAACGTATATCTGAATCCAATTTGAACCTGACTAAATAAGCTTCTGGGGCATAGAATGGCTGGATTCCAGGAGTCTGAATCGAACTGTCACATTTGACAAATTTCCGAGTGAATCTAATTTAAATAACACATGTACACAGATATCATCCAGAGATCTCACTGTGGCTCTGCTGACATTAAAACCCGGGAACAGGCGGCGCTGCTTTACACCGAGGGTTGTGGGGGTGTGCAGCGCGCTGGCCAGCCATGTTGTCGAAGCCAGTACCCTTCTTTTCAGGGATGAGATCCACCGATCAATTAGCCATTAAAAGCGAAGTCGCTACATAAGCCACATAACCAAATCTGCTTTGCAATCTTTCTCATGTTTCCCGTTATTAATTAAACACAAGCAGAAAAACAGAAACAATTCCTTATAAGCAATGTGTGGATAGGTCCGCTCCTGAGATATATTTATAATAATCAAAGTAACGGCCGGTCACACCTTTGCCTGCACATAGTTCTAAATGCGTGAGGTGTGGATCAGGATTTTAAAATGGTGCATACAGGGACGAATCTATTCCTTGACTGCACTGTCTTTAAGCATGCTGTTTTCTCCTTAATTCATCTCTTTCGTCATAATATGATATCGGTAGATATTTTCCGTCGTAACAATAGTGTTGAAATGAATATGTTTTTGACCAGCTCTTTTTCGGTACAGCGTACTTTGCACCATGGTAAAAGGACCGGAAGGTGGCGCAAAGTCACTGAGCTATAGGCACTACTTTTCACTTTTCAAGTGTGGGACTTGACTTGTGGTCAATAGACTTAGACTGATGGAGCAGCAGGAGAGCAATGACATACTATGTAAACTCGGAAATCACCAAAAGTATACCTCTTTTCTTAACAAGGAAGGGGAAAATTGCTATGATGTATCAATTTATTGCCACCCTATGTTGAAATAACCACAGGAGAAGTTTTTGATATGAATGCATTTTTTTTTTTTACAAATAATAGAAGTGTTACATTTAGATCAGACATCGCACACAGTGAGTCGACGTCGCAACGGAGAATGTTTTGTCAACGAATAAAAAAAAAAACCAAATCAATTCTCTTCTGTTCATTTGTTTACAATGGAAGGCGTTAGTGTGTCATTATTTCCGAGGCTGTCACATGGTTAGCGTTTTGCTCGCCCTACGCGCAGCAGTTTCGTGTCCTTGCCTTTAGTAAAAGTTTGCATTCAGTCTGAGCAGATTTAAATGCAAATTATCTGTGAAAAGAAACGGAGATATGATATTCCATATATAGCGCCGCCGTTATATACATTAATTTAATGCAGTATTTGGAGCACTTTATGTATCACAAAATTTAAAGTGTTTAAAAAATTAGTATGAATGGAATATGTCGTAATGAAGCCGAGTGACGTAGCGGTCAGAGCTGAAGAAACACATCTTTTATTCACACACCGGGGGCGTTAAGGTAAGTATTACTCGTCTCACATTACCTTTGGATCTTTTTTGAATAACATCAATTGTTACTGAGACGAATAATAGTTCAGCCTTGATGACTTGGGGAAATGGGTGAAGTGTTTTTTTTTTTAAAGTTCGCAGTACAGTACGTTTTAAATTTGCTTCGTACTGTAGTGTAGAAAACCCGTTTGCTCCAATATGTGGTTTCCTGTCGGCAAAATGTCCGTTTCTAATAATGCATGTATTAAATCATCAGTCCTTTACGGCTCCTTAACAAAGCTGAC